GTGATGGCCATGAACAGTGTATCATCAGGTCTGTAGCTGTAGAAGCTCTTCAGGGATGGGGCGTCATCTTTCAAGGCATTTTCATAGGCAACTCGTGTTTGTTCAAAAACAGTAGCCATCTCTGTCTGGGTATCTATTTCTTTCTCCATATCTCTCTGTTCACTCTTGATGGGCTGCTTGGCTACCTAGCAAGGTAGTCTTACGGTAGTCTGAAGCCTGGTTTTATAGATTGCTCTTTGCTTGAAAGAGAGCATATGGAAATGGTATCTTCACTTTGCTTAATTAACCAGGCTGAACATAGAAAAGAAAAAGTTGCACCATTCTTGAGAATGTAGTAAAGTGCAGGAGCACAAACAGACTTCCTCCTTGCGGATGTCAGAAAGTAGAAACCCCAAGCCAATCTTTATGCTTTCCTTTGCAAGCATTCCCAATGATTGCCTTGCCCTTTTCAGCTATGTAACTGTGATATGTTCTTTTATCCATTGCAAATGCATGTAGAGGTTACTGCATTTCATATGGGAAGTATTTCTATTCATAAAATAATTAGGTTTCAACTTAAAATTTTTACTCATTTTCTTATCTAATCGGTAATTACTTAGGATGAGCTTAGTGATATAATTGTCATATACATGATATAATGTCGATTCTGGTGACTTCGGCTATTTTATATTGTCCGTATATATTTTCAAATTAAATGACTCGGACTTGTTATGTAAATAATTTAATTACAATATTAAAATATTAAAAAAAATTAAGACCATTTATGTTTATTTTTAGGAGGGAGGTTGGAAATAAAATAATATTGAAAGGTTGTGGTCACAATTCATGTATATTACTTAGAAAAGTTAAACAAAACTTCGGTAATCGTTTTTATATTTTTTTTCAACTTTTTTTTATTACAAAAATATATATTTTGATATTTAATTTAATGATGGGTGCATAATCTTCTTCTTAAAAAGTAACTTACACTTGTTACGTCAATATTGAAAGTAGTAGAAAAAAATTCAAGACCATTTATATTTATTGAAGAACATCAGAGAATTCATACACCAATATTCAACGAAGCAAATAGGGGAAGCTACATATGTATTGTTTCCAGAACTGAATGAGAAAAATTCTAGTCATCGGAACTGGTCCATGAACCAGGTAAAATTTTCTTCATAAAGTCCAAAATGCTAGTGACAGCAGCCTGGAAGAACTGGTAGTACAATCGGAATTGGAACAGCGCGAACACACAAATAGGGAGGAGTGCAGCAGCGTAAGTGAGACTCGTGGTCCACTTCTTCTGCAACTGAACGACAAGGAAAATGGTGGCGGTGAACGTGAGCATGGTCGCCGTAACGGAGAAGAAGAGAGAGGTGAAGCCAATGGACATGTTCCGAGGGATAGTACGAGCAAACTGTTGCTGCTCGAGGGAAGATGTGAGGATGGAGAGGAAGACCACCACCGCGGTCAAGGAGCTCGCTAGGCCAGCGATGTCCATGACTGTGAAAAACGAGTAGAGAGGCTTTTCTGTAGTAAGGAGGACGGGCCGACCGCTTTGTGCTGATTCCATGAAAAAGGAGTTCGTGTTACTTGTTATGCAATGATGTACAGATAAAAATATAAAGAAATAGGAAGTACTTACCATGGAATCCTCCTGGTGCAGTGTAGGCAGCGGCAAAAACAACACCAGCGATGAGAACTGCAACAGTTGAGCTCGATTGACATGTATTCTTAACCCATTCTTGTGCGAGTTTAAGTTGTTCCACATGTTCCTTGTCGAACAACTCTTTTGCAGTGTAATTTTCTTTGTTGCGGTGCATGGTATAAGGATGGGGAATTCGTTTTTCCACGTTCTGAAGAAAACCAGGCAAGTAATTACACGAAGAAACAAAAATGGAAAAACGTTCGTAAGAATTGATGATTGACAGAGATTAATCAAACCTTGAACCATGTCAACTCCTCTTGTAGTTGGAGAGCAGGAGTGGGTTTGCTTCCTCCATGATAATATGTGGTAACGGCGGCATGGTGCAGTATGGTGTAGCCATCGTTGTCAATGCCCAAAACCAACCTCTTCACCTCCTCTTTCTTTTCCTTTTTGACAAGTTCATAGATATTGAACTGACGGTGCAAGATCGACACGTGTAAAATGTTCTGCCCATTTTGATTGACGAGCTCCACTGCTTGAGGGTACCTCTCGAGTATCAATCTCACAATCTCCATGATCCCAGTGCTGGCTGCAATCAGCAAGGGAGTATCAGGCGATTTACTCCTCCTCTCTGAGAGTGCAAGGTTCGTGGAGCCTTCTTCTGTTTTAGTTTCTGCCTCCTCTTTTACCTCTCTTTCTAAACAAATTGTGCTGTCCTGCTCTGGCTTATGGGCCAAAGCCGCGCACAAAGACGCATCCATCGTCACCAACTTCTCCACTAGCTTGACTGCTAGAGTATGCGTTTTCTTACTCGTCCAAATATCCCTAAGCGTTACCCATCCTATAACCCACAGATAAACATGCAAAAGAATTCCATTTTAAAGATCATGCATAAGGTATTATAGTCAAATTAAGGCAATTGAGCCTTACCTTCAGCAAGACACTTGCAAATAGTCTGATTCATCTTAGAATCTGCAAACGCAAAGTAGGATAAACTATGATGAATAATCTAAACTCTTAGATGATAAAAAGCTTGGAGAGATTGCTATGAAAAATCACAAGCTTAATTACATAATACAATGAGGAATCTGTTAAAATCAATTAGTAATAAGTAGAGTGTTCCTTCACTACCGACCGGGGCAACGTCTGTTTTGATAGTAAGTTGAAATTTTAGAACTTCATCCAATCTAAAACTATATCATTACCTACATAGCGCTTTAACAGATGCTGGATTTTGCTCAACTTGTCATTCTCCAAATCAGTGTTCTGACTTGAGAAAAGCAGACCTGCTTCATTATCATCATCTGAATAGCTTGGAAAGCCTGTAAATGAAACATACAAGCTAAATAATTGGTGCAAATCTCCAAAGTACAATAAGAAGATTCAATTCAAAGGATTGGAACCAGAACGAATAATGTTTTCTGATCGTGTTAGAATACTTACAACTGTAGATAAACTCCTTCAATCTGATCATATGAGTAGTACTCTTAAATGCAGTAGGCATCTTAGCTAGGAGGTGGAGAATCGTCTTGCCATTCCTGTCTTTGTAAGTTGCAAGCTGTGTATCCTTGTTCAGTAACCAAATAGCTGTCCCTGCATTGGAAAAATGTCAAGTAGAACTTTGAGTTAAAAACAAAACAATGATCATGATTACGTTGGTAAAATGGTGAAAACAGATAGAGATACCAAAGTGTTGGCCGATGACAGCACTGTGAAGAATGGTGACCCCATCATCCCTTCTGTAATGATCATGCAGATTTCCAATTTCTTCAGCTTGTTGTACGAGGTACTTTACCATTTCAGTCTTACCAAATTCTGCAGCCCTGAACAGTGGGGTTTCACCTAAATTATTTCGAACCCCCAAAATCTGTTTCCTGATCTCCCCAGTTTCTAGTTCATCAGCAACCGTTGGTCCCTTAGATGACGACAGCTTTGTAATCAAGGAATCTGCATCTTCAACATTTCCAGTGGAGGCCACCTCATGGAGAATTGTGTTCCCCTGAATGTTCTTCATCTTCAAGAGCTCGAGTCTCCTCGTCTGTGGCACCATCCTAATTAGAACTCGAAGTGCTTCTTTGCTTCCTTTGCACTGAGCTGCAATGTGAAATACAGTATCTTTATAAGCCGTGATTGGATCGAACAAGGCATCTGCAGGCTTGTCCTGGTAGAATCTCCTAAGACCATGAGCGTCACCTTTGAGGGCTTTGCCATAAGGTAGTCCTATGTCTTCAACTCTCTCCATCTCTCTCTCAATAGCTATTTCTTTCTCCATATCCCTCTCTCTCTCTCCTTCCTTGTCAATCTTGAAAACCAGTCTCTGCCTGGTTTTTTTTATAGACTAGTATTGCTTGAAACAGCACCGAAATGCATCTATTACTTTGCTTAATTAGTTGATAAAGCTAAATCAAGAAAAGAAAAGCTGAACCATTTATGAGAACATAATAAAGTTCAGAAAATGCACTACAGAGTAAAGACTCCCGAAATTTATTTATCTATGCCGGTACCGAGCCAACCAACTCGGGAACAATTCAATTTTAGTCTGAGTAAGGAATTTTCTTTCCCTTTCTTTTTTTGGGCTCCACATCGCAAAGTTGATTATGCTTTGTTTGATGTTCACTTCTCTGCAAAGCTGGCGTAGCAGTGTCAAAGGACTTTCGCTTTTCATTATTCACGTGTAAAACAAAGTTTTCCTTTTTCTGAAACCCAAGAACTATAACCCAGAGAAGAATCTGGGAGGGAGAGATTGTGGTATAACAATCAACACAACTCTAAGGATTTTTGAACTTTTGCTGCATCGTTTTGGCCTGGTGGTAATGATTTCTTGGTTCCTTGATCTCTTATTATGCCAGGTTTAGGTCGTCCTGTTTCTGCTTGTTCCTGGTTGAAGGCGCCTCTGCTTCTGTTTTAAATTGTTCAAGGTGGAAGATTCTTGCTTCGTGGTTTTACTCCAGGTGTTGTGGCCTGTCTTCGCAGATCCTGTACTCTGCCCATTTGGACATCTAGCTTATAGATTTTGCTGAGCAGGAAAATACTTAACAGTTTCACAGTGTTTTCTCTCTTTATCTGATACATTTTAGAGTTGTGAAAAGCAAATCGATTTCTTTTGCAGACAAGAATAACAGGGAGTTGTAATTATCCATCAAAACCTACAAATATTTAACCAATGAATACTGGAGCTACTCGGAGTTCCTGAAAGGTTTCTTTGTTTCTTTTAATCTAAATCACTCTCAAAACTATATCTTGGAACCCGGATGAGGGTTTAATTTGGCCCATTGGACAAGCCTCAATCATTCACAGCAGGATGACAACTTCAGGTTACCTATAATCCTACAACTCTAATGAAGAAATCAAAAGAAAATTAAAGTTTTACTTCAACAGCAAGTGGTATTATTGAAGCTTAGAAGGGTACAAAAACCTACTAGAAAATACACAAATAAAATTCAATCCATAAATAAAAGGGCATTGAAACAGATATTGGTTCTTAATCATCTTTAATCTGAAGAAATTCCCAGTTTCCAGGTAAGTTCCTTCTAAAAAAATCGAAAATGCTCTTGACTGCAGCAACAAAGTACTCGTAGTACAGAGGGAATTGAAACAATGCGAATACGCAGATAGGAAGGAATGCAGCGGCGTACGTTAGACTTGCAGTCCATTTTTTCTCCAAATGAATAAGCAGTAGAATCGTGGCTGTGAAGGTAAGCATGGTCGAGGTGACAGAGAAGAAGAGAAAGGTGAAGCCGAGCGAGAGGTTCCGAGGGAGCCTGTGAAGGAAATCTTCAAACTCAAGGGAAGACGTGAGGATGGAGAGGAAGATCACCACCGAGGTCAAGGAGCTTGCCAGGCCAGCAACGTCCATGACAGTGAAAAACGAGTAGAGCGGTTTTTCCAGGAGAATGGGACGACCATCTGCAGCAAACCATTATACAAGATCAAAATTTAAATGTAAAAATGTTTTTACAACATTGGTATCATTACATTGAGCAGAAACAAGACTATAATTAAGTAACTTACCCTGCAGGAAACCCCCGGGTGCGGTGTAGGCAGCTGCAAAGACAACAGTAGCGACAAGGACTGCGACGGTTGAACATGACTGAGAGGTGTTCTTCACCCAGTCCTGTGCGGTTTTAAGTTGCTCTTGGTGCATCTCCTTAAACAGCTGATCTGCTGTAACATTGCTTTTGTTGCGGTGCATGGTAAAATGTGAGGGGATTTGATTTTTCACATTCTGCATTGAGGACAAGAACAATTAGTACAAATCATTCTGAAAATTACTAGTAATGAATCTGGGGTTTGTGATTAAAAAGGAGGCTATAACCTCGAACCAGGTCAACTCCTGTTGCAGTTTGAGAGCAGGAGTAGGTTTGGTTCCTCCCTGATAGTACTTGGTCTCGGCAGCATGGTGCAAAATGGTGCAGCCATTATTGTCGATCCCCCTGACCAGCCTCTTTGCCTCTTCCTTACTCTTTACGACATCAAACACTTTGTATTTACGATGCATGATGGCCACATGAAGTATGTTCTGTCCTTTTTTACTGATGTGCTCGACTGCTTGAGGATACATGTTGAGTATCTCGTCCACAATCTCCACAATGCCCGTGCTAGCCGCAATGAACAACGGCGTATCAGGTTCATCCGATTCCTTTCTCGCCGCTGCACCCTTCACCCTTTCTTCTTCTTTTTCCTTTCTTTCTAAGCAAATCTTGTCGTCCTCCTCTGGTTCATGAGGCTCAAACCAAGAAGCGTCCGTTCCTACTAGCATCTTCGCCAGTTTAACAGCTGATACATGCATTTTCTTTTGGCTCCACATATGATCAATCATTTTCCATCCTGCCCACATATAAATTATATAAACAATTCGCACAAAAAAATTAAAAAAAAAAAAGAGAGAGAAGAAATCATTTCGTTCTTACCTTTGGCGAGGCACCTCCAAATGGCGCAGTACAACTTGAAGCCTGTAAGTGATGGTTTCCATTTAGCTTTGATGAAGAAGATTCATAGTTAATAAACAAGAATTAGATAACCATTTTGCCAAAAAATTACCTTTGGAGCGATCTGATTGATTGAGACCTTTGCTTGGATCGCCATGCTCCAAATCCCTGTTCTGCAGATTTGATGGAAACCGATCACTCTCATCCTCCTTACCTGGATCGCTTGGAAGGCCTTCAAACAAACAAGTAATGTCGTTTAGATGAGTGATGGCGCTTAATTTTGAGCTTAAATATTCTAGATCAAAGGAACGAGAGCCACAATTCCTTCGAGTTAATTATAATTAGAAAACATACAGTAATAGATGGTTTTTTTCAATATTCTTGTCATGGGAGAACCACTCTGGAAAGCAGTTGCCATTCCAGCCAGGATATGAAGACTTGTCTTGCCATTCTTGTCTTTGTAAGCTGCAAGTTCTTTGTCCTTTTCCAATAACCAAATAGCAGTCTCTGCATTAGAAATCGACTAGAATATCGAGTTAGACAAAACAAAAGAGTTATCAGAATTGATCGAGTTCAGAAATGGAGATGACAGGGAGAGATACCAAAGTGTTGGCTGATCACAGCAATATGCAGAATGGAGACCCCATCATCTCTCTTGTAGTGATTCTCAAGATTCCCGACTCTTTCGATTTCTCTTGCCAAATACATCACCATGGTTTTGTTGCCATATTCTACGGCCCTGAAGAATGGGGTTTCGCCTAACTTGTTCCGATCCGCCAGTATCTCTCCCCGTTGTCGAATATCCCTTTCATCGTCTAATATCCTGTCAGAGAACAACAGCTCCCTGATTAACAAATCTGCTACTTTAATATTGGCAGAGGTAGCAACCTCGTGGAGAATCGTGTTCCCATAAATGTTCTTCATCTTCAACAGCTCACGTTTCTTAGACGGCGGCACCATTTGAAGCAGAACTTGAAGCACTTCTTCACTGCCTCTGTAAGCTGCAATGTGAAATATGGTATCTCTACAGGCCGTGATCCGATTGAATAAGGCGTCAGGATTTGTCTGGTAGATTCCCTTTAAGCCTTGAGCATCATTTTTCAAAACTTTCGCATAAGCATCTCTCATTTCATAAAAGATTCTCATCTCTGGTCTCGAGATAGCCACTTCTATCGCCATCTTTCGCTCTCTCCCTGTCAGTCAAGATAATCGATTAAGCTGCCTGAATTGAAAGAGAATCTCATATCTATCCAAGATAAAGTTCACAATGCCGGGGGTTTTATACACTGATAATACTTGAAAGAGCAGCAGAAAGATACACATGGTATCTGTGCTTTGCTTAATTACTTGATAAAGCTAAAAGGAGAAAAGAAAAGTTGAAGAATTCTTGTGAATAGGATAGAGTTCAGAAACTGCAGAAGAACAAAAGCTTGCTGTTGCTGATGGCATGAACACAAGTCAATCATCTTTCCAGGACAAACATTCTTGCTTATGTTTTGCTTATGATGCTGTACTATGCACATCATCGTGATTCACACCACATTACGAAGGAGATTTACAATTTTACATATAGCTGGCAGCCAGGCCTTGCAGCAGTGGTAAAGAATTTCACTTTTCAACTTTTTTATGCTTTTCTTAAATTAAAAACAAAAAGATTATGCCAGGTTATTATGAAAAATAAAAATTGTCTGTCTCACTTTGATATCTCGATTAATATTCCTTTGAAAATCACTATTAAACAATAATATACTTGGGCATCTTAGGACCAGCCTGAACTGCTTTTCATCCTGAATTAGTTTGGACCCTGCAAATTATTCTTGCGCAGGATTTTTAACCTTAAGACTGAAGGAAACTTAAGCCCTTTTCATCATGTTTTGAGTTTGAATTCCTATAATTCATGAACTTTTGAGTCTAACACCATGTTTGGACCGTGGGGAGGGGAGGGGAGGGGAGAGAAAAGTTAAGAGGAAACTGAATTCTGCGGGTTTGCGTTGGTGCTTTAATAGACTGAAAGCCTAAAACAGTCGGTGGAAGATAAGTATATATATCTGCCTTTAGTATCATATCAGCTCTCACTTAGGAAGAGCAAGTTAGAATCAAGTCATATAACATTTACAACTCTTGATCATGTCTTACCTATCTATTGATTACATAAATCTAATGGAAACCAGGAGAACAGATAGCACTGTTGCAAAGAAGATCATTTTCCAACATATTGCACGAGATGGGAACTTGTTTGCAGTCACGCTTGCTAGACATGGCGTTTGAGTCTATGTTCACAGCACGGTGGTAGCTATCACTAGCCATTTTCTTTATGAATACTTCTAGTTCACAATGTTTTGATACTGTAAAGTTTAGCTTAGAGTTGTGGTACTCTTCATACCAGATATGTTTTGTTCGCTGCTATTATGTATGCACACACCAGTTATACTCTGGTTGTTGCAGGAACAGCTTTCTGTACCCTTACTGTCTTGGGCAGATTCTTAATGAAAATATGTTGCACAAACCAGTTATAATCTGGTTGCAGTAGGAACAGCTTTCTGTACCCTTACTGTCTTGGGCAGATTATTAATGAAAATACCTTACTAGTTGAGCAAAAAAAAAAACAAATCTAAAGTTTAGTTCATGCTGTCAAGAGAGCACTGCCCTCCTTGATGAGCACAAAAACACTACCAGCATCTCCTCTTGAAATGCGCAGTTCTTCGTCAAGGTATGTTGTAAGTAACCATGATTCTGCATTGCTGTTTGATAGCGAGAACTTCAATGGTGGTTGGCTGGAAATTGTCTTTGCAACAGAGGAAGCTGTGTCTTGCACAGAGGTGAGCAAGCCTTTAACAGGAGTTAGATCGATTTTTTGTCCCAGAAATTCCACATTTTCAGGTAAAACTATGGAGTCTGTCAGCTGGGGAGTTCCAATTATGCCTTCTTGAAACTTGATCTACACAGAACAAAAAGAAAAAAGAGCCATTTTAAGTGACATTCAGACCTCTAATTTCTTTAATGTATTAGCAAGCATAGCAGTTTCCTCTAATGACACAGTCCTGATTAAACACTATTTAGCTGCCTGTAAAAAAATATTTGGGGACATTCAAAGAGGAAAAAGGGTAATTCAACATTGTTTACTATGACATTTGAATTTAGAGATAGGTCCAGTTGGTATTATTATGGAGAAAATTCCAAATTTTCATGAACAAGAGATCGAAATTCAAGAATCACTTTTGCTTATTTGCATGAAGATGGCACAGAACCCTGCAGATGTGAGGAAAGAGTGTAAATTTTCACGTTGAAGTTTAAACCTTTACGTTCCAAATGCTGACTGTGAGAGACAGAACCACTTCTCTAACATTAGTTTAACAGAAGAAAAATATGGCCATAAATAACATACCTGCACACGCTTGGGGCTTCGGACCTCAAAATTTGCATTTGTACTAATTGTATTTGAGGCCAATGGCCCAGAGAACTGAACAGAGTTCTGCACACTGAAACTTTCAGCATCAATGGTCTGTGATATTTCCTCCACCTTTACTAATGGCAGTTGACCCCTTGACAACAATGGAAACAGACCGGGGAAAGATGTGTACCTGTGCCATAGTACAGACATCAAATATCAATATACTTACACTACTGACTCATGAAAGAATTAAACAAAATGCTTAGAGATATAGCTGGGGTTTTATTTTCTGTTCCATTTTGAAACTTACTAATCCCTTAGTTATTCTATCATATGCCGACACCAGTAACTAATAGCTGCATGATATATTAAGCATCAGTAACAAGAATCAATATCAACATTGTACTTTATGGCTACTTCCAAGCAGAAAACTAGAAGAGAGGAGAGAGGGAGTTTCACCCTGAGAAATGCCACAAATAGAGGAGAAAAGCTAAGTAACATTGATGAAAACAATCCCTATCGAGTAGCAGCATGAACTTCAACTCCACATTTTTTGTCATCAGTTCATTTAAGAAGAAACAAACACACCCTCAAGCTTCATTCTATCCTTTTTGACCAAATTAAATGTTATTCCTGAAAAGCATCTTTCAGCAACTTGTTTCGGATGTATAAAACACAGTGAAGGGTACTGCCAGGACATAACACATATGTATTAGATTGCCAGTATCTTATGCTGCTTGTGCTTTTAATCTTTTGGATAGGTTTTCTTTAGCCTCTTTCATAGGCCAGAAACAATTTGCAAATTCCAAGAGAAAAACTAATGCTTTTACAAACCAGATTGTTGTATATGTTCTTTTAGCTGTTTTACGTACCTAGATCCTAGCTAGTTCCATGCACTCAATCCATTTACTCTAGCAGTCTATCCATTAGAATAAGAAGAACTGGTTGTAGAGTAGACTCAACAACTAAAAGGTAATAGTGCAGAACGATTAGGCTGATTGAACATCTGATCTTAATGAGATGTCCAAATTCATTGAATAGTACAAGAAAGAAACCTAACCAAACCAAAGTGCTAGACATGATGTTACCATAGCCTGTACTCAATTATTGCAAAAGGCCTAGCACTAAATCCTAGTCTAGCTCCTCTTTCAGAAGCACTTAGCAAAGCATATATCGCTAGTCTATTTCAGCTTTGAATTATTTGACCAAATTAATGCCCTTTCATTGCCAAGGACCAAATCCTGTAAGGTCAGATCATGCCATGTCTAAGCATAACCTTCATAACGTCAACAAATAACGGAATCTACTGTAAATACTTTGCCTTTAACAATAAAGATATGATTAACCAAAATTTAACGAGAATTTTTTTGAATTTCCTATCTCCAAGATAATAGTCTAAGCTACATATGATTCATAATTCCGTTTCTTTATCAACGTTTGGTTAGCAAGAAAGTAGAGAACTTACGCGAGAATCCATTTTCCATTGAGCAGAGTCAAAGCCTCAGTTGGTGCTGGGGTTGGGTTCTTGGCCTCGAGCTGAGTTATAAGCTCGACAATCTCAGCTCTAGTCTCACTGGTAGCTTTCAAGCCACGATTAGTCCCATAAAATGAATCCACCAAAGCCTTCTTCAAGCTATCGATTTCGGACACTTCTTTAGGCTTCTCCTCTTCTGCCACCGCCACTGCAGGACTCTCTGTCAGTGGCTCCTCCTCCGACTCCGACTTGTCTGGGCCATACTCGTCATCGTACACAGCACGGACCTGGAAAACGGGCCTTTCCCGGATCGCTTTTAGGGTCAAAAATTGAGATTTCCTGACCGAATTCTGAGTCGGTTTAGTAGAGTTCTGAGGCAGAATTGAAGGTTTCGAGGCCAAGTTACGGCTTCGTGGAGTCGATAAGAAGGCCTTGCATGGAAATTGATTCAACTGAGAAACTGTAGCCATGGTTTTCTTCGGATTTTCAAGATGTAAAAACTCGACAGGAAGAAACAGGGAACTTATGAAGAGAGAAATGAAAAACAGGGGAGATTAAGTAACAAACAATTCAACTTCGACAACTACAAGAACAAGAAACCACAAGGGCAATCAGTAAACGGCTGTGCTCAATGACCATTTTATCCTCGATTTTATGCCTCTTCTGTCCATGTTCTTGACACGTGGGTGAGCGGACTCTGTACTTTCCAAAAGAAAGCCAACAAGGGGCGTGTGAGGCTGGGAAGGAATTGGTATTCTGATCAAATTCCTTAACAGTGTCAGGGCAGATTGCACGGGCGCACAATTGGTGTGGAAACCAACTCCTGAAGCTTCTAAAGCTAATGAAACAATACCCAAACTCAAGCGGAAATAACTCATTTCGTTTGCAAAGGTATCTCTACATAAAAATACATGGCTGTGGTTTTACCATAGTCGAACTATATTCACAAATCAAGCCACACGTTCTTTCGATGTTGATGACTGAAAGCATATGACATAAATTTTGTAACTGTGACCGAACCCAAGACCAAGATGGGTGCTAAAAATCTTATTCGAATTCATTTCCAATATGAATCTCTTATTATCATGTTCAATACTTACCAATATTTGTATAAAATCAACCTGTTTACGTCTCTACTGGCCTTTGAATCTATTGGAGGTTCTTTTTTTCTTCATGTTTGAAAATTGGTTATAGGCCACTTCAACAAGTAAAGCTGTTTATGGATTAGTCTTATATCCGAGTTTTGATTGAATTGAGATTTATGCTTTCGTCACAAAAGCGTTAAAGTCATCTATAAACACGTCTACTAACAAATACTAAAAAAATATAATAAATTTTAATATGATCGAATTGGATTTATTAATTTTTTAGATTTATAATTATGAATTGATTTTATTAGGTTTGCAATTTTTAAAATTAAATTGAAGTTTGGTTATTTAATTATTAATATAGCAAAATATTATTTCATATTAGTATTTTAATATTTTTAAGCATAATTTAAAAATATTTATTAATAAATAATTTAATTAGAATTGGATTGGATCAGGCTTTAGGCTGACCATTGGTGGCTTCCATCAACATGTGACCAAAGGGCCCATTTGGGCTTTATTTTTACAACCGCAAAAATAGATTAAACATGAAAGGGCCATCGTTGGAACCCAGAAAGGCACATGAGCTCTGAATCTCTACTCCAACACCTCCAACGTTTCATCAAACGTCCGAACCAAATCAAACAAATACATTCCCTCCTGATCACCGGGGGCCTCCTCCTCCATATCCACTATAGCACAGCTTCAAAATGGAAAACCACCCTCCTTTACAACACCTTAATAAGAGCCTATCTCAACGTAAAGCCGTTTCACCATTCACTCTTACTCTTCACCCGCATGCTTGGACATCAAACACCCCCCAATTCCCACACTTTCCCTTCCCTTTTCAAAGCAGCCGCTGCTGCATCTCTCTCCTTGGCTTCCCTTACTTGCGCGCCCCTCCATGCACAGGCCCTAAAACGCGGGGTATTAAGCGACCCTTTTGTGCAAACATCATTGCTGGGAGTGTATGCTAAACTTGGCAGCTTAAGTAATGCGAGTAAAGTGTTTGAAGAAATTTTTAACCCTTGCATTGTCGCGTGTAATGCAATGCTTGATGCTTTTGGGAGAAATGGCGATATGGGTTCTGCTCTTTTGGTCTTTGAGAGCATGATTGAAAAGGATGTGGTGTCTTACACAAGTGTTATCAATGGTTTTGCAAGGAGCAAACAGTTCCAGGAGGCGATTCGGGTTTTCGAGAATATGATGGAATTTTGGGTGAAACCGAGTGAGGCTACTTACGTTAGCGTGCTCTCTTGTTGTGCTAATTCAGAAGGGGGAGGTAGTCTTTATCAAGGTAAGCAGCTACATGCATATATGCTCAGAAATGAGGTTGTTATGACTGTTTATATGGGAACAGCGTTGATTGATTTTTACGGGAAGAAAGGTTGTTCAGAGACTGCCGTGAGAGTTTTCAATCAAATGTTGGTTAGAAAGGTTTTTACTTGGAATGCAATGATCTCCTCGCTCGCATGTAATGGCAGAGAAGAGGAGGCTTTGGACATGTTTGAGAAGATGAAGGTGGAGGGAGTGTGTCCCAATGAGGTTACCTTAGTTGCTATTCTCACGGCTTGTGCTCGCACCAAGAGAGTGGAGTTGGGTTCTGAACTCTTTCAGTCAATGTCTTGTCAATACGGCATTGAGCCAATGATGGAGCACTATGGGTGTATGGTAGATCTTCTGGGCAGAGCAGGACTTTTGACTGAAGCAACTGAGTTTATAAGGACTATGCCATTTCAACCTGATGCATCAGTTCTGGGAGCTCTTTTAAACGCTTGTAAGATTCATGGCGCCATTGAACTTGGGAATGAAGTTGGGAGAAGGTTGCTTGAGTTGCAGCCGCGACATTGTGGGCTATATGTAGCATTGTCTAGCATAAATGCTGATCTCGAGAGATGGGATCGTGCAGCTGACTTGAGGAAAGCATTGGCAGAGGCTCGAATCAGGAAAGTTCCAGCTTATAGCCTGATTAGTACCATGTAAAGAGTCATGTCAAATGCAGTAGATGTGTCTAAATTAATCACATGGATTCTGCAGTAGAGAAATGCTGCCGGTAAATATTGAAAGATTGGGATCTTTTGCACTGAGCTCCCATGGGCTCCATTGATTTAAACAATAATATATATCTTATACGTAACCTTTGATTCAGTAATATATGTATCGATATTGTTTATACGTAACATTTGATTCAATGATATGTATACAAGTATTTGCTTACGATTCATAATGTGCAGCATGAGGGTTATTTTAAAAATGCATTATACTCTGATCGTGGGCCATCAGCCAGGAGTTTTGGTCAGGGAAGTAACAGAGATGCCATGATTGATTTGAACTTGATAGGCCAATCATTGTCTTAATTGACCTTAAAAGGATTAGTAAAGGCAAAGTAGCCCGTAGAGGTTTGACACTAAGGGACAAGAATTTGAATATTATAACAAGATATTTCCCAATCAATGTTTGGTTAATGATGATTATGATGAGGAGAATAAGACGATCTTAAATAGTATTAAGGCTTGAATATTGCCAGAAAAGAGGATCAGTACAGCTCATATGAGCTTCACCCCATTACAAACTTATAGACACTATCACTGCATATGGAGTTTGGACTTAAAAACTTTAAATAAAGAAATAGAAGCAATTCCAAGAATGGAAGGAGGATCACTTGCATCCCTAACACAACTTTTTGTACACCTCACGCAAATTAAGTTTTTGAGCCTTTTAAGGCTTTAGCTTTGCATAATTAAATGATATTATGGTAATAGAAGCAAGGGCTTATTCAAGTTAAAGCCACCCCTTAAAGCCTAAATTTGTAAAATTCTAGGAGTAAGCATTCAATCGGTACGACTTTAGTATTTTAAAAATCGAATTAATCGATTTTTAAAACAAAAAATAATCTAAATATCAATTTCGATCAATTAACTCTTGCCCTTAAATTCAAACTTAATATAATCTTTATTCTTACCTTTAATTTGACTATTCTCTGTTTGATAAGAAAATGTTATCTTGCAACTAAAAATACGTAAGCAATATAAATTTACAAGCAACATAATTTCAAATTATTATTATTATTGTTTGAATCACATCCCACTTACTTGTGTAGAAGTATCAATCAATTTATTAAAATTAATTATTTTTTAATAAATATTAAATTATCAGAGTAAAATAACGAAAGAAAGGCGAAGGAAATGTATTTTACATGCAAAGTGAAACAGTTGGTAAGACCTCGGTGGCCGCGCCGGCATCAGCGACCCTTTTGACTTGGCTTGTTTGGCCGGCGAACGCCATGTCCGAATTACAACACAACAAAGACCTGACCTTTTTAACTAAATTCATCAAAATTAGTACTACCAATCTGAATAATTAAACCCTGCCTCTCACCAATTAAAAATTAATCAAAGCCCAAAATTAAACATCCAAAGTTGTGCTCTTTGCTCCAATTCCAAGAAAAGCCATCCACGAGGAAGTAAAGAACCCTCCAAGCTCAGGGCACCCTCCTTTTCCTTTTTGTATGCTTGCTCTTCTTCTATTTTGTCCTTTCTCAGTGACGGAGGAGTTACGCTCAAAACCTTGCAAAAAACAGCTTTTCAAGAGGCCGTTTTTGGTTTTGATCCTTTAGTTCTGTCGTTTTCACCGGTGTGAATTCAACGCCAGAGGTGGGTTTCTCTTTATTGGATTCAAGCATACTCACGGGACTTCCATGGCTTGCTGTGTGCCTCCCCTCATTAACAATCTTCACACCCTTTTTTGCTTTGCTTAAATATGTTATGTTTCTTCTGCCTAGCTAGTTGCTTTCGGTGTTTTTTTTCCTTTCTTTGCATTTGCATTGTTCGTGTTTGAGCAAAAAAATGAGTCAACTCAGTGTGGTACTGCAGGAATCATTGCAAGGAGAAAGGGAAGCGAGGACAATCCTGAGATTTCTGAGAGAAGAAATGGACGGTGTAGATAGGGAAAGGAGGAGGAGGAGTTTCAAAGAACGGCTAGGATTTAAAGTCATGAGCTGTTGTGGCGCCACCTGGGGTCTGGGGTCAACGACCATGAGCGTCAGAGACGACGCTGAAGTTGAAATGGTAGAAGAAGAAGAAGAAGCAGACCAACAACGGGAACAAGTAGAAGCGACGCATTCGGGTCATAATCTGGATCCAGGTTGCATCAACCCGTCTCCCGTTTCGTCGGGCATGAATCTGGCTGCGGCTTTAGCAGCCGAGCGACACTTTCGGGCAGCGCAAGAACCGGAGGGAGGTAACGCAGCGCCGATGAGTGATGGGCCGAGTAATGCGGGCTCAGATCGCCCGGGACGCCGCTCAGGGTGTCGTTGATGACGCTGTTGGAGGAGGCGGACGGCGTCTGCGGCGGTGGGGAGGAGGAGAAAGGTGGCGCGGAGATGGGGAGTGATTCGATGTGCTGCGTGTGCATGGGGAGGAAGAAAGGCGCGGCGTTTATCCCGTGTGGACACACTTTTTGCAGGGTGTGTTCGAGGGAACTGTGGTTGAATCGAGGGTCTTGTCCCCTCTGCAACCGTTCAATCCTCGAGATTCTTGACATTTTCTAAACAATCAGGTCGTTCCCCTCCCCCTGATGATTGTCATCATGATGATGATGGTGATGGTGAATGAATGAATGATGGTGATGGTGAATGAATGAATGATGGTGGTGATGGTGCCTCGAGATGGTCAGACCTTGGAGGGTGAGGGTGAAGGGAATTTTGTCATGGGATTGGACATTCTATACTATTTCCTACTTGAAAGTCTTATTTTACTTGAAACATTATTCTTTTTCCATGTTCTTTTCTCTCTTCTTTTGCCAAAAATACAGCAATTACTGGTTAATTAGGATCGACATTTGGAATTTTGGAGATTGTAAAATAGAGTTTGTTTTCCTATTTCTGAGAAAGATCCTGCTCTGTCCAAAAGTATCCAACTCATCAATAATGAATCCATGGACCTTTTGATTCCAGCAAGTTCTTCAAGCAGGCTGACCCTGCTTTAATGGGCTCAGTCAAAAAAATTGAGCTGCTCTTATTCCAACCGTGCCCCAATTTGCCAGTGTAGCGGTCCAGTTTCAGGCCTCAGAGGCAGGCCGACTCGTAGTTTACTAGTTAAGGTTCTGTAACAATTCAGATTCAAGTATTACTGATTCAATAATGATGTGGTATGAAATGTGAGATAAAGAATTGCAGATTCTTTATAAGATCTGCTGGAAATGGAGTAGGACATCTAGAAACTGAAGTTGGCTGTCAACTATTTTGTTAGTGCTTCCAGGTTAACAAATACCGGTGAACAGTAGTAAAGAAGAATCAAAGTCAGAAACAAATTTATAAATGAAATGACCAGAAACTAAATGCATTGAACTAGTTTGGTTTGGGCCAAGTGGCCATGGCTTAAACATAGCCTGGGATACTAGAAGCGTCAACAAATTTTCTGTGTTATATGGTCTAAACGTGGCTCCACTACTGATGGGAAACGTTAGCCCTTCCATTTTTGCAAACCAGTCGATCAAAATGGGCAGTCTGTTTTTGAAGTCTTGACTCCGGGTTGAGATTGTGCCAGGTTAGAACCGCAGCCGGCCCTTTGGTTTCGGCGAAGTCTTTGAGCCAGGTTGAGCTTGCGCATTCTCGATGGGCTTGGTCTAATTCAGCTGAGGTTCAGAACTTCAGATTCTTCCTGTGCTGACATGGCCAAGTTCAAAAGACAAAGCGACAGGGCTGCTGCCTTCTTCATGTGTATATCAGCAGGAGTTAAACATCAATCGAGAAGCTAAAAGTTGATACTTCAATCTCTAGGTTAGTGCGTTCAGGCTTTGATTTGCGACCGAAAAGGACTAAAGAGAAGCGAAACAAAGAAGAAGGAATAATCAAAGTCATAGGTATGAGATGAGGAACATGAAATAATTCTGATGAAACGTAAACTGATTGCATGCCACAAAGGAGTGACGATAATGGGCCCATCCCAACAGGGAAAGGTTAGGCAACTAGGCATCCCCCACACCATAGATAAGCACCAAGCCGAACCAGGGAAAACCATTATGAAACACTGTGGGATAAACACGAAGGATCGATGACAGGCATATGATTCTGATCAATCACGATCAATTTAGTTCTGAAATCGATGTTTTCTTGGAACATGCAATGGTACAAACTTTCAACAGTGGGAAAAGAAAAGGGCTGTTTTATTTGGACTCAGTGGGGGTTCCGTTTGATTGCGCATCAAAAGCAACTTTCAGAAAGCCTCATTCGCTTCCTGTAAACATCATGTTGTCCGAAGTAAGTGCATTATGGAAATCTCTTTCGTCGTTTACATGAAAACCATCATCGATACCTACCAAAAGATGCTTCATTTGGGCGTATGCACAATGCACTTTTCCTAGTATTTCTGTGACCGATGTTGACTGCAGTGTGAAGGCACTCTTTTGGTTCCTCGGAAGAATTTTTCTGTCCAAGTGTAGATATGTAGCTGGAGAGAGGCAAAGTTTAAGATGCTGGCAGGGTCTCTATAGCCATCCCCCTCTTGACTAATATGCGGGTGAAGAATCAAAATCAAACTCTTTCTTCCCGGAGCCGGCGCCAGCGCCGGACAGGACAATCTTTTGTTTTATGCAATTTTTCTAGACTTTTTCGTTTTTGGAAAGGAGATCATTAAATTACATTATGATCTACCTTAAGACCTTTCAAGAGCGCGACGTTTCCTTTCTACTTTTTTAATGTTTTTATTCATGGGTATGATTAATGAATACGATGTTCCCTTAATTCATGATTAAAGTTTTAGTGACAAAGGCGTGATTAGCAATAGGTCATAAAAGGATTAAAAAACAGAACAAAATAAAAAAAAAAGTTGTAATAAAGACATTGAAGTTAATAAAAGAATCTAATCTCCATCAAAGACAAAGGTCAAATGTTGTTCGATGAAGTAAGTTGTCCGACCGAGGTTTACTATAAATAAAACTTTGCTCTAAAAGTTAGCATAAGCCTATTTACAAATCAGAACTTGTCTTCTTTCCATAAAGGGAAATAATAAAAACTGATTCAGTTCTAATTAAATCATGAGTCTTGCTGAAACCATTTCGGTCGTGGGTCCATTGTGCATAAAAATATTGGAACCAAATCAACGGTCCAAAAATGCTGAAACCCATCGGTTGATCTTTGATGAATATCTTAACTGGGGGACCCTTTTGTTGATTATCATCAAATTATTCTTCTTCCTCCTACTCGTGCGGTTCACCAGTGTCCCATGGATCGATTAAATCTATACTAAATTTTCATGTGAAGAATCCTCATTGGTTCAGGTGATTTCAGCTTGTTTGAAGCAAAAACAACATCTAAAAATTATATTTAAAATGGTGAAAAAATTTCCAATATTTCAAACTTTCATGTTAGGTTGGTATTTTCGAGTTCCTTTTGTGTTAAGTTGGTTTTTAAAATTATAATGAAAAACCACATCATCAACATTTCTTTCAAACATATTTATAGAGAGATAAATTTTACTGTAAATGGATACGTAAAAGTAGAAAATTTTCTATGATTGAGATTTTTTTACCCTTCTATTATACGAGGAATACTACAATAACTTAACTTTTTTTCTTCCTTTTGTAATAGCCTTTCACATATAAAGGAGAGGGATTTATCTTAATCGGAATTATTTCAATCTTAGTGAATAATTGAATAGACTTTTGAACTTATAAATAGTCATTTACTGCATTGTAAACATATTTTTTTGAGTTGAAAGTGTGAATTTGTGAGATTTTTGATCTTTAATAAATATGTGCACGTATGATTACGAGCAAATGTTCTGACTCTTTTATTTTCAGGCAAACCCATACCTATTGGCACAAACTTGAAGCTAAATATGGCTGATATTTTTATGTGGTGAGCAGCATATTAATTTGTTGGGGAAATAATAATACAGAAAGGGTCAAAGGGAATCTGATGGGATCCACTTCCAGTATCGATGAGTTAACCCAAACATGGCATGTGCACCCAAGTACCTAAAGGAATGCCTCACAATTTTGGGGTTATTGTCTTTTGCAACCGTTCACACACTGAATGTACAGCACATTTGATGGGGGTAAACAATGGGAAAGCTGATACTGTGAAGGATATCCTTCCAAGTCGAAAGAAAACAATCTAATTTGAGCTTTGGCACTTAATGAAAGGGAGAAACACAGGTGAGGGTCGAAATTATTTGCAGACAATATCCATTTACCATACATCAGGACCATGGATATATCATTTGAAAAGATTGGATAACAACACAGAGAGATTTAAGTAGGGCAAGAAGAGGAAAGTTCATGGAACCTGGAACTTGCATCCAGGACCAATGGCATGTGCTATGTTTTTCTTCTACATCCAGATTTTTCGAACTCTGGGTTCTTTCTAGTGCCTCTTATAAACATTTGGGATTACATTGCATGAAGAACCCATTCAATGATTAACAAAAATAACATGATAAAGTAAGTGGTTTTCATGAACTTTTTTTCATCTCGTCCACTCTATTGCTATAGCAAGCTTTATTAAAGAAAATTACGAAGGTTAAACACCCTTTTAACATTTTCTTGATGTAATTACTATATGTGTCTAGCCATTGAATTCTCTACATTTGTGCATGATGCTTTGAAATGATTGTAGTTTGATTTATATTCTTCCTTTTTGGCCTTCTATTTGAGAATTAGTATATGATTTCAAGATTGGTATTCTCCATTTCTAGTAATTAAGCAATTATTGAGTTTATTCAAACTATTGTAAAAACTAATTCAACAGTGCATATATATACACCTTATAATTTTTTATCATGGACTAACATGGGAATGACTAGGTATCTGCCTCCAACAAAGAGAATTGAAATTTGTTTGCATGTGGTTGTCGTTCCAACGTCGTGTCTTCATTAGTGAGGACTGAGGAGTGGCATGCATTCCACCAATTAATTAATCAAACCCAAAGTAATCAGAGGGATTGAGGTTTGTATGCACAGAGGAATATAAAGATGGAAAGTTTGCATGTGACTGGAGAGATCCAAGGTGGGAAAAGGATCTGATAGGGCACGACAAAGAGTCACCAGAAAGCTCCAATTCTTCTTTACCAACTATATATATATAATTATTTCATTTTTTACAGGAGAAAAGGCCCATTGTTGTCCCACTGTTGAATTTATCCAAACCCCCTGCTTAGGTTTTGGTAATACTTACCTGATGAAGAACAAGCAAAGAGTAAGGTTGTGCTTTTTCATATAATTCAGCCGTACATATATTTTAATGTTTTCTTTTTCGATATTTAATCTTAATCATTGATAACAGTGTTAATATAGATTTAATTTATCTATACGTATATATAATACCTTTTTTCTCAATATGTAATCTTAATCATTTATAATTGTGTTACATACACACACTTCTATTTCTACGCATATTCATATGATTTATGATTTGCATTGAATTGAATTAAGAGTAAGGTGCTCCACGCATCTTCCCATATCTCTCCTTGGGGTGAAAAATGTTTTGTCTGTCAGAAAAACCAGACCAGTTCCACTTCCAAGCAACGTAAAAGAACTTGTTGATATGTCATGTCTTCTTTTAAATGCGCATGCAAGATCAAAGTTATCTTTGCTTTTGTACTGCACATTTGCTTTTGATTTGTCTTGCTCTTAAGTGCACACCAAAACAGTGTGTTAAATCCTTTTGTTAGTTCCACAGTCATCCCAAAGCCAAAGGCCCCCTCATGGATCTCCCCCTACAAATTCCATCTTTTTCCTCATCTCCTGCTGGCCTGTCTGCTTCCTTTTCTTTTATGGCATGCCTTGCTTTTCTTTTTCTAACTTTCGATGTGATTTGATGTTTATTCCCATAATTAAGTTGAAAAAGAAAAAGAAAACATGATTAATTAAAAAGGGTATGAACAAATCCATCGGTATTTCGAGCTAAGTATATATCATTACTTCTACACACGTGTTCTTTGTATGCATGCATGCACATGCATAAACTTTTCGTAAAAAATTTTATTACAATTTTCATATAAATAAAAAAGAGAAACATTTAAGGATCGAAAAAAGGATACAATAATTTAGAAGTTGGAATGAAATCTTGATTACATTGCCTTTTTTCTTTTAATATTTGGAGATTTTTTCCATCTAACTGAGAGAAACTAGAGAGAAAGATTAGGGTATAAGTAAGATTCGAGAAAAAAAAGCATCATTAAAGACAAAGATATATACTTGATTTTAATGCATGGCATGTCGAGTCACATCAAGTCAATATTAAAGCCTTTTTTGCAAAATTATTTATTGAAGGATTGATTCTGGCAGCACGTACGTGGGGGCCGTCGGCCTCTTTCGAGCTTTCACCAAGCCTGTCCGCTGATCTTCAAGGTATGGCCAACTTGGCGAAGATGAAATAATAATCTATTCAAGATATTAATACCCTTAATTTATATTTACCAATATCCGGGACAACTAGGAGGTAGAGGACAGTAGCAGCTCTACCTTAATGGATGCCCATTTGATCGAAGAGTTTCCGAGATTGTGTCAGGTTCTTGGCTGTTGGGGAAAACTAACAAGGGGTGGATGGGGGGGCGGGGTGTGGCAAGCAAACCTCTCTCGGGGCTTGGTCAAGTAGTGGGAAGAAAGCGAAGACCTGAACAAAGGCTACTACAAGAGTGGGTCCCTTCCCTCTCTCGAAAGAAAGTTCAGATAAACTCGAAAAGAAAGAATATCACAGGTCACACTCTGGATCATGGCCGTCACTTCGGGACAAAACTAAAGATGGGGGTAGGGGGTCCAAACGAAGTACCAGCTCCACGAGTCCCTGCAACTCTTTATATTTTCCCTTGAAGATTTTGGATTCTTTGTTTTGCATTTTTTTTTATGTTTAATCTCCCAAGTTCCCCACGCTTTCACCCTTTGTTTTTTGTTTTCCCTGTTTTGCCCCTCATTCTGTGCCTATAAATTGCAACCTTTCCCGTAGTCCCATCTCACACACCTAAGTAGAGAGTTAAACATTATCCCATTGCGGAAAACAACAGTGAGAATCGAGTTCAGACAATGGAGACCACTTTCCCTGTCATTGACTTCTCCAAACTAGACGGTGAGGAGAGAGGAGCCACCATGGAAATGATCAAAGATGCCTGTGAGAATTGGGGTTTCTTTGAGGTACTATAAGCTTTTCAAAATGTGTGTTTCTATGGTAATGCTTCTTGTCTAATTGTACTTTTTCCTCTTTTTTCTTGAAAAGCTGATGAACCATGGGATATCTCATGAGCTGTTGGACACCGTGGAGAGGCTGACAAAGGAGCACTACAGAAAGTGCATGGAGCAGAGGTTCAAAGAAATGGTGGCGAGTAAGGGTCTTGAGGCTGTTCAATTTGAGATCAATGATTTGGATTGGGAAAGCACCTTCTTCTTGCGCCACTTGCCTGAATCAAACATATCCGAAATCCCTGATCTTGAAGAAGAATACAGGTCAAAGTTACAGACTTTTTGTTTTCACTTTCTTTTAAGCAGTGGGAGTGATGGAAAATGGCTAGCTTTCATGTGCTAACAAAATGGTTTCTTTATTTATAACAGAAAGGTAATGAAGGAGTTTGCAGTGGAGTTGGAGAAGTTGGCAGAGCAACTTTTGGACCTGTTGTGTGAGAATCTTGGGTTGGAGAAGGGGTACCTGAAAAAAGTCTTTTATGGGTCCAGAGGGCCAACCTTTGGCACCAAGGTCAGCAACTACCCTCCATGCCCTAAGCCAGACCTTATCAAGGGCCTCAGGGCTCACACAGATGCTGGTGGCATCATCTTACTCTTCCAAGATGACAAGGTCAGCGGCCTTCAGCTCCTCAAGGATGACCAGTGGATCGATGTTCCTCCGATGAAACACTCCATTGTGATCAACCTTGGTGACCAACTTGAGGTATAACCAAGGCGCTCACCCCTGTTGTTTTAGCACTAAAAGTTCAAATCTAACTCAAAACTAAAGCGATTCTTAATCGGATTCAGCATTAGGAGGTTTGGTATTAATAAAATGGCCACTTTGCTACGTACAGAATATGGAATAATATTGCAATTAACATCTCCATGTATAAAGCACAAAAGCATATTTAAGTGGAGCACAAACATGATTCCCGGCTTCCAGCAGGGGATTACTTAATTTCCATGTTGATTCCGTGATTGTTTTCTTGTTGACTCTTTTGTCTGCTTCATACAGGTGATCACCAATGGCAAGTATAAGAGTGTGTTGCATCGTGTGATCGCTCAAACAGATGGTACAAGGATGTCTATTGCTTCCTTTTACAACCCGGGCAGTGATGCTGTCATATATCCAGCACCTGCTTTACTAGAGAAAGAAGCTGAGACATCCCAGTTGTATCCCAAATTCGTGTTTGAGGACTACATGAAGCTCTACGCTGGCCTCAAGTTCCAGGCCAAGGAGCCAAGGTTCGAAGCCATGAAGACCATGGTGTCAGCAGTTAAATTGGGTCCTATTGCAACTGTTTAAGTCCTTTCAGTGTGTGAAGAGAACAAAAAGCTTAGTAGTGTGTTTCTGTTAATAAGTTTACTCTATCAGTGTGGAGCTTAGTAGTTTAAACAAGCTTAAGGTTTGGAGTAAGATATCTCCTGTTATGATGCCTCGTGGCTGTGCTTTCAATGAGATGTTCCTGTTGTAGAAAGTAACCCAAATTTATCTGATATGCAAAATTGTCCTTAAGATTCTATTTTGGCTTTATTAGGCTTTAATAACACTTTTGTCTCTCAATTCCTGTCTTCCTGTTCGAACTGCTTTGGGCTTGTAAGTTCTCCTTTGAACCCAACAATTTGCTGTTCTCTATTCCTTTAATTCCCAAACCATCATCAATGGTCCTGGTATTGATTACATTGGAGAAACAATATTAACAACTCATACTAGATTTCCAGCATTTAGACACCCCTGTTTTGGGAAGGTGGGGGAAAAGAATTCGGAGAAGAAAGCTGGAGTTGACCCCACAATAGCCGAGAGATCTCTATGAGCAACCGCTGTCAAGCAAAAAACCTCATCTGTCAACTTTTTGATCACCTTTCCCTCAGCCAATGTTAATTTTGTTTATTAGATCATAATCCAGAGAGATGTGCTAATCAGGTCAGACCTTCTGATATCCACATAAAAATTCTACTTCTTTTGAGTGGAAAACTGATAGAATCCACTAAACCCGATGACATGAAAGTTCTCAGCAACATCACTATTAAGTTAACAGAAGTTTTTCGATTGGAAACTAACCACTAATTCCTTTTTTGACTGTCTAGCTGTCACAATACACTTCAGAGATGGGAAGTTGACGGGTATACTAACATTTAAGCAGACGAAAGCAGATAGGCGATGTGAATGCAAAGGAACTTTACTTGTACCAATGTGAATGGGAGGAAGAAAAGCAAAAAAACCCAAGCAGAACACATTCTGTCACGCAAAATGAACATAATGGATACCAGAGTTCCATCTCTACCTTGAGGCTGGCAGATTCAGGGGAACCAACATAAAAGAATTATCCCCAAGAGGATCTTCAATAGTTTGTAGTCGGAAAGATCCAAAACGCATTCAGGTAAAATAAACATGGTGTCACAATTTCCAACTTGCCTCTGTAATACCCAGCCTAATAGGTGTGGATGTAGAAAAGAAACTGCCTGTCAGAATTCGAGTTCTTCCAATTTCATATCTGAGACAGCTACAAAGTAGCAAAACCAATCAGTAAGTAACAACAACCAGACATGGGCTGGTCTGCCAGTATCAATGGGGGGGAAAAAGGGGTAGCTAATGATACAGGCAATATGCTCTGTGTGAGATAATACTGTGCTGCTTGAAACACCAAGGTTCCAACTTGCACCAAAACAAAGTGACATAAGACAGCTTAAGATTAACCACTGATGAACCAATGGTGGAGATAATAGGCTTTGAGGCAGTCCGTAAGAGTAAGTAAATTGATCAGAATTGAGGATATCCATAAAGTAAAATCCTGAAGCAGGTTTAGGATTTGAGCTGTAGCTGTTCTCGAGTTTCAGAATACAGTTACACCGCGCTCATCCTTTTTTTGGCCTGAGGCACATGTACCATGTCATAATAACCTACCAACACGTTTTTGTTGGTCTAAAATTATGTCAATCATACTCGATAACCCCTAAGCCTAGTTCGAGGGTCATCTCCCACAAGGACAGCATGATTATGCAGCAGACGTGGTGAAGCTTTTGGAAATTTACAAAAAGGGTTGGTTGCTTTAACAAATTCCATCATCATCATCAGCCCATTGTGCTGCTTTGGCCATCACTGCGAGAAGCAGAACATCATTGTTTCTCTGCCCCTGCCCCCTGGTCAGTAAGAATCTAGAAGCAGAAGCATCAGTACTGTTTCTCAACCACTGGTTGGATTAGAATCTATGTGCTTACAGGCCTACAAAACAACTCCAATTTGCTTGCGGATCTTCAGCCTATTGAAAGCCCGAAGCCGATGCCCATACCCCGGCTGCCTATGCAAACGAAGAAACCCATGCCAAAGTCTAAATACCCTTTTTATGAGCCCATGCCCCATGCCCCATGCCCCAACTCTTGTAGCCCATTCAAACGAAAGAACTCCAGCCCCTAAAAGGGTATTTTGATAAATTAACCATTGGCATGAACAAATAGGGTTCGTGCTCTATAAAAGCCACCCATACTTGTTAACACCACCGCCGCTCTGGTTTGCTATTCAAATGTTTTGATACTGCTTTTGTTTTGCAAATGTCTTTGTTTTTTTCATACTAGGATCTTTCGATGGAAACCTCTGTTCGGTTAACAGCGAGGAGGCAGTTTATATAAGATTGTCTTCTTCATGGGGAAGAACATTGAGGTATATCAAATTCAAAGGCCGAGATATCGTTTCAGACGTCATATTTTCTCCATTGACGGTCTGGTTGTTGCTCGTCCACACTTCTTTCGTTTTACCCTTGTTCTTATTCTTCGTTTCTAGATTGAAATCAGTGAAAATAGCGAACAACAAAGGGGTTTGAATATAATCTTTTTATTAGAAAGGTAAACCATCCATGCCAAGTATCCAGAAAAGAAACAGGGGAAGAAAACATAGTATAGTATATAAGACTATAAGTTCGATTCAAACTCAAACTCTTGTCTTGTTGGTTGGCTTTGTTCCGATTATGGCAGAAAAACTTTTATGCTGTCAATTGACGTTCTGCTATCTCTTTGAACATGAAAACGTTATTGGTAAGTGCTTCAAGCTGCAAACCTCGAATCTCTCCATGAACCTCTGGTCGGACACCCTTGCTTTGGCAGCGGCAAACCGCTGGTACTCATCAAAAATGGAAGACAAGCACCATCTCTGCACTTTTCTTAGGCATCCCACGAGACAACCGGTACGGTGCTGCAAAGGGAAAGCAATATATTGGTGAACAAATAAGTTGGGTAGAGAACTTGGGCAGAAATTTGCAAAGGTGGAAAAATGAATGGAGGGTCAAATTACCTTCCCTCGATTGCAGTGGATTAGCAGTGGATGGTTCTTTTCATCTAATATGAGAACAGACAAGAATATAAGCCAGATGATCAACAAGAAAACTAATAGGATACAAGTAAAAGGGCTTTTTGATACCTAGCACTACTTTCAATGCTTCCCGAATTGTTTCCTCCGGAATGTTTACAAAAGGTTCCTGTACAAAATATTGATCATCAATTTCAAGAATGTGTTGCTGCTTATGATGCAAGATTCTGTCGGAGATCACAGATATGGCAGACTATATTTGGCCAATACCGCATCAAGCCAAGCATTGCCCGTACAAAATAATCCTAAACCCTAAACCATCTAAAGCTAACCTTGGTTATATTGCTTTATTCTCAGGACACCAATCCACATCTATGTATGTAATATCATTTCTAAAGCAGACAGACAAGCATTAGAAATTGCAGTATATACTAAACAGCCACAATTGCAAATGTATGCAAACTACAGCATGAATAATAGCGTGACTCAACAAGAGAGATGCCCAGATGGTAAAGAGAGATATAAAGGGGGTTCAGTTTCTTGCCCCAGTCTGTACAAATAAGCTTGATCCCCATCATAAAACACAAACAAAACTAAATTTCAGCAAGAACTAATTCCCCAGCTCCCCAACCAGGAAGATGATACAATAAAAGCAGCTGGGGGTAAAAACCTGCTGTAATTTTTCAGAGAGGGATGATGATACAACAACTGAAGCAAAAACAGCTGAAGTAAAAACTGCTGTAATTTTTTCAGAGAGGGATGCTGATACAATAAAAGCTGCTTCATTTTCATCAATTTTTTATTTCTTATCCAAAGGGTTCTCAAACTACAGGCTTGCGCACAGTTTATGGATCAGCATTTCTGTGGATATAGAGAAAATAGGACTGGATAACAAATTCAACATTTTGATTTTAGATTAATGAAAACCACTTTCGAAGGCAAATCATCAAATGGAAATTGCTAACAGCCAGAGATTCGATCGTGCTAATCAATAATTAGATGAAGAAAGTCAATAGCAAACCTTGCATCCATCGATACCGAATTGGAAAAGCCGGATTCCATTAGCCTTCAGAAACTCGTTATTGGCCTCTGGGTAAGGCTCGGGGCAGAGATATCTGCGTGTGGGAAAGAAAGAAGGCAATTAAAATTCGAGGAAAATTTCACGTTTGGTAACCAGCAAGGCAAGGGAAAGGCAAAACAGTAAATTCCCTTTGATTAAGCAACTCACATAATCGAACGGAGCCCCAGCGATTCCAAGAACCTAAAATTGGCGGAATCAGGGAAACCAGATCTGAAAACTCCATTATCGACCATAGCGAAATTCAAAGGAGGCACGAACAGCTCCTCCCCGTCCTTGTCACTATCATCTCCTACATCCCGCGGAAACGACGGCGGCAGCGTTGGCTGAGAGACCTCGATCGCCTCACTAATCTCTCCCTCAAATCCTTCGACTCTCATGTCTGTTTCGCGCCAAATATTTTGAAACCAAAACCAATAAAAGAAGAAAAGTTGAGGGATAAGAGGGGATAGACAAAGGGGAATTTCAAAGAACGAATCTAAAGAATCTGCGAAGGATCTTCTGATTCATGAATCTTTGGGTGTCTGTCCCCCTCTTTATACCGTGTAAAACAACAAAGCAAAAGGGAAAAGATCGGATCCAAGGACAGTGGCCACAGTGCACGGCTAGAGGGCAGGGATCAATCCCTTTTTCTTTATTTCCTGGTTCCGCTTTCCATTTTTCAATGATTTTAAGATCTGGGATGACAGAGAAAATATGGTGACGTGGAGACAATAAAATAAAATAAAAAAGGGTGGGCCGTTGCTAAAGTTTGCCATTTCTGTCTCCCGACACCTGATATTCGGATTGGTATTTTTAATTTATTTTATATTTAAAATTTTTAATTTATATTGTCAATTAAGAACTTTAATCTTCATTTGATATTCTTAGTAATGTTAATATAAAAAAATTAATAATATAAAAATTATAAAAAAAATATCAAATTTGGTTTATTCTTCTTCTTTTTTGTGGTATGAATTTTGTATTTTCTGTCCTGGAGAAAGAGAACAGAGTCGTGTGGCTGGGGATTGGGGTGGAAAAGCAGGGAATTCACGAATTATTTGTGGTGGGGCGGTGGTGGAAGATGATTAGTGGCAGCCCTATGTCCCCAGTTTTGGCCCCTGAATGGCAAGTGAAAACAAGGACTGCCACCCACTGGCTTAAGAAAACTGGAACACGGTTTGCTGAAGCAATGGGCGGCTAAGGTCAAATCACTTTATTCTCCTTCATCTGAGAAAAGAAAACTCTGGGCATGGTAATCATAAAGATAGAGGTGATGAATTTGCTTGGCTTTAAGCCTAAGAAGACATGAGATTACTTCTTTTTAACCCATCTCAAGTGATAAGGTAAGAGGAAAATGTTTGAATAAAGAAGAAATGAGTTTGGAAACTGGGATTGAGTGCCTGCAACATCGCTGTCCTCGGGTCCACTTCACCTCCCCTGCAGTTCATTTCTGGTAAGATGTAGCTTTCAGAGGATGAAAGCATATTACTTAAGGGAGAAAGTTTGGTATCAACCAGAAATATAAAGAAATCCCAGAAGAGGTAAAACATAATTTTTTTTTTTGTTTTATTTCCCTAACCAAAAATTGCCTAACATGGACTTCGGACTTGGAATTTAAACATTCATTTGGAAGCAAGAGGCAAAAGAAGGGGCAGTCTAATTGGATCCCATTCTACAGACCATGATCATTACAAGCCAGAAAAGGAAAGACCCATCAAGACTCCATAGTCACATTGATACAAAAAAAACAGTAATGTGGACATTCAAGAATGGGTCTAGCAACGTTCCTAACCTGCCCATTTCACCTTAATTGACATGTACAAGCTAGTTTCTCGACAAACTAGCAAAACATGCAATGTTTTTTCGATGGTGGGTTTAGAAGAGTGATTTGAATTGCTTATGAGTTTTACCGATCAGGCTGCGAGAACAAGCACTTTGATTGTTCCTCGACTGTTTGCTGTCAGCATTGTGGGGCTATCACTCTTCCAACATACGGCACTGATGAAGTAAGATCCGGTGTCCTCTTCAGCATCAGCCATGTCAGAACCAAATCTATGCCAAGCTGCAGGTTTAGAGATAGCCTGCAAGAATCAATGTAACTACATTATAAACTTTTTTTGATGCCAAAACGCCGTATGCCCATATGGTGACTAACCTTGTGGTAAACAAATACTTCATTCGTCTCACTGCCACAAGCAATGTACTCACTATTTACTGAGAGGCCCACAAAATTCTTCTCATTCGTGTGACCTCTAAAAGTACGTAGCTGACAGAATAAAAGCAAAAAAGAGCAGTTTTAGTCCGGATATTCTGGAAAGCCAAGTCAGATAGTAACTCCATAGACGTTCAGGTTGGATAAATAAAAAGTTGCAGTTACTAGACTGTATGAACTCCAGAATATGAGATGGTCTACTTACTGGTAAATTTTCTTTTACATCCCATAACCGCACTGTGCTGTCAGTAGATGCAGAAGCCAATTCATTGTTGGACAAAAATTTCACATATGAAACAGCTTTCTTATGCCCCCCAAACACATACAGCGGTTGGCTGACATTTCTCAAGTCATAATAGTGAATGTGATGATCAGCAGAACCAACCTGCAAATGTTAGAAAACCTGAAACTTCAACAATCCCTACTTTATTCATTATTTTGTCTGGAAGCGATTTTTAACCTGTCAATGGAAACAATTATTGTAGAAAGTGTTTAACCAACACATACTGCAACATGAACACCGGATCCAGGATTGTACTTGACAGAACAGATGTTTGCTATCATGTCAATGTTAAGAACACTCGCTTCTTGCCTTGTGCACCAAATTTTGACCTGTCAAATATAAATGAACTTAGTCTAACTCGCAAAACCAAGAACAAGCTTGGTCCAATGGAGAAAAGTCTTTTTACCTTGCAGTCATCACTACCAGATACAAGCATTGAAGGTTCAGTGCGAGAAAAATCAACACTCCAAGCTCGCTTTTCATGTTCCTCGTATTCCATCACACTCTGTAAAGTTAAAAACCATTTATTGAAGATTAATCAACTGTAAATGACTGGAGCATACATGATAACAGATATGTTTGTGCAGAGCAACCTGCATGAGAATAACACGTTGAGGCTAGAAAAAGAAGAGCTATCATTCGTACCTGCCGAGTCGTTATATCCCAGACAGTTACTATCCCATCATAATCACTGCTAGCGATATGGTTTTTTGTGTACTTATTCCAACTCAAGCAACTAAGCTTAGATCGTGTGGTCATTTCAACAATAGGACAGTGCACATCTGCTGGTTCGTTCACAACCTGCAGAAAATGAACTAGTAAGTGTTCACCAGTTAAGCAAAGACCCAATTATATCATTAAAGGACCCCAATACATGCATCATCATTGTACAAGAATGGCTAGCTAATAGTGTTCAGGTGAAGCCTCATTCAGGAAAGTATATATTGGCAGATTAATCAGTCTCAAAGTGGAATCTCAACAATAAATAGCCAAAGATTTGCAATACGAAATTTTATGGTTTGATCATTTAATCACTTCAATCAAAGGTACAAAAAATTACCTAAACAGGGTTAGATGGCTATAATCCAAAACAGTTGCATACAAACACCACGGCAGTAATATGCCAACTAAAGAAACTCCATTATAACAAGAACTTGTAAGGGTTTAAATTTTTGAAACCAGAAGTGACTGCATTATAGAACACAATGCATCATCCTTATCATTAGTGCAACAAATCTCCTTTATGAAGATGCTAAGACTATTAAAAATTCCAGAAATCATGACCTTTAGCTAATAAACCTAAAATATCATCCAATGCTTACCGAGGAAAACTCAAAAACCTTGATGCGCCTTGACACTCCAGCAGTAGCAAATAGCTCATCATCACGATCAAATTCTATGCTGCAAATTCATTAAAGTCGTTACAAATTCTAAAGATACAGAGGAAACGGAAAATTTTATGAATGGGAGTTAAAGATAATCATTACTGTGTTTGTTCACAAAACTTCAAATTTTCAATTAAGTCTTGCCATATCATTATATCAATAAAACCACAGAGTAATTATTAAACAAGTGCAACTCAAGATTGGTAAAACAAGTTTTTTCTATGAAAAAAAGGGAAAGGGGTGTCAGAAAACATAACATAACACAGGAACCCAAATTTTGTGTGACTATGACTGCTGAATGACCCTCTGATGAATATGAAGAAATTACATAGAATGATACACTTTTGACTTACCTTGAGACAATGTTAGCAGAGTGGAAAATATCACCATGCCTAAGTTCTGCAAGGACTCTCAATCGACTAATTAGAACAGAAAGGAAAAATGAAAAAGATAAGTATCTAAAGCAGAAAAATACAAATATTACATAAAAGACAAGAACAGTGACAGGGTGAGATCCAGAACATTTTCCTAGAAAAAAAGATTAAAATTTTACAAATTGCAATCGCTAGTAATAAAACTTATGCACCTGTATCGTGTAAAAGTAGTTAGCACAGACTCAAAATCCTCAAGACCAGGATTATAACCTTCTTTATTCATTGCATTTGGGTCTTTTTCTTCCTGTTTATGAAACTGTTTGGTCCAATGCCGCCGCTTTTGCAAGTAGCACTCTTGTAGGTCATTAAACTGTGGCAAGAGAAACTTATAAAAAAAATTAAAAAAAAAAAAACAGTGGCAAGGGATAATAATTATAAAAATTCTGCCTAGAAAATAAATTTAGATATGATTTGTGAAGGATTGACTGGCCTATTTATCTGAACATAGAATATATGGGAAATATAACTCTAACAACAATGAGAGGTCTTCATTCACTCCATAAATCTGTCGAGCAGCATGCTATAAAGAGTAGCTGGTCGACAAAATACCAGCACAAATAGCACAGGTGAGGAACTTAAAATCTTGCCATCACATGTTTCAAAAGACTGATTATGAACATGAGAATCCATTGGAAAGATTCAAGCCCCATGTGCATGACCTCCCACAAGAAGACTGTTAGTAAATGGGCCTTTAATTGAAGGACCAAGAAACTCAGACCTTCTCACGATTATCAATAACCAATAAATACAGCATTGCACCAGCCAACAGCATAGGTCAAGAAAATGAAAATATGCAAGGCAACTAACCTGTGCATGGACCCGTCTCTTTCTTGCTACAGCCAATCCTGAATTAGTCTTGTACACTAAATCTGAACCACCAAAGGCATCTCTGCTTCCGATACCCTGTGAACTCGTTTGAGCTTTCACATCAACCTTGTTCTGGAAGCTGGCTGAACCCATCCAGCCTCGTAGATTGTGAGCACCAGACGTGATGCTATTGTTATGTTCATCAATCAATGAAGGCGAGATTTTGGCCGCAAAGGAATTATCAACAAGCATCCTCAGTTTTACCGAGCATTTCTCTTTCGCCCTATACAATTCTATGCTACGTTTCTCTACAGCATTTATGTCCTCCTTAATATATTGAAGATCATTTTGAATCTTCAATAAATAAAAAAAATAAAAGAAAATATATAAGACAATTAACCAAAAGATAAAGTAAAACTTGTTGACCCCTGAAAAAGGGAAAGTGCAATAACAGGCAAAAAGATTAATTTAGAACCACTGAAAGAACGTGAAAGGAGCGAAGGTGCTCAATTTGATGCACCCAGGGAATATTACAGACCTAAAGCCAAAAAGTAGTAGTAATGCCATCTTTCATCTTGTGTCTGTACAAACAATTGTAAATTCAAGGAGGC